CACAAATGCCAGGCACTGATCAAGTTGGTTTCGACCTCCGATGAGGTAGTACAGCAACTAGACGCTCTTGGAGAAGAGTTTCGAAGTCGGGATCCTTAGTTGATCCATCTGATGCTGAAGAAATTGGACAAGGAGACGCAAACAACTTACCTTACCTTCCCAATCAGGCTAAGGCCTTGTTGTCCTCTGCTGTCCGAAGAAGTCGTCTCCACTCTACTCGATCCATGGCAACACTTCGCCTCGTCTCGTAGTCTGCGAAGGGTCCGCAGGTCGCCTTCTACTTGGTCGATCCACCTTGCCCGCTGCGCGCCTCTTCTTCTTGTTCCTGTTAGGTCACTTTCTAGAACCATTTTCACTGGGTCGTCGTGAGGCATTTTTACGACGTGCCCAGCCCACCGTAGTCGCCCAAATTTTGCTGGTGCAATTCGTGGTTCAATCGCCTCCTCCACGTTCCGTCATCCATCCGCCCTCCACAAGCATAGTCCAGGTCTCGTGGCCGTAGAGGACCACCGGTCTAATCAGCGTCTTGTAGACAGTCAACTTCGTGCGGCGACGAATTTTATTCGACCGGAGCGTCCTCCAGAGTCCAAAGTAGGCACGATTCCCTGCCATAATGCGTCTTTGAATTTCTCTGCTGGTATCATTTTCAGCGGTCACCAGTGAGTCCAAATACACGAACTCATCGACCACCTCGATTTCGTCACCGTCAATCTGAACTCGGGGTGGAAGGCTAACATTGTCTTGCCTAGAACCTCTTCCTTTCATGCATTTTGTCTTTGATGCGTTGATGGCAAGTCCAATCCGCCTAGCTTCAGCCTTCAGTCTGATGTACGTTCCCGCCATCGTCTCAAAGTTCCGTGCCATGATGTCAATGTCATCGGCGAAGCCAAGAAGCTGGATGGACTTCCTGAAAATCGTGCCACTCGTGTCTATCCCAGCTCTTCTGATCACACCTTTTAACGCGATGTTGAATAGCAGACACGAAAGTCCATCACCTTGCCGTAATCCCCTTCGAGATTCAAAGGGACCCGAGAGTGTCCCGATACTCGAACAACACACATCACTCGATCCATCGTCGCCTTGACCAATCGCGTCAGTTTATCCGGAAATCCGTACTCGTACATAATATGCCATAGCTGATCTCGATCATTTGTGTCATATGCGGATTTGAAATCGATGAACAAATCTAGATAGAGCTGGAATTAGGGCCTTACAGCTTTTGTAAACAATGACTTCTATCGATGATTTCTAGAAATTCAAGGCTCGCCCACGCAAACCATCATCTTCATCGAGTAGGGAAAGACTTTCCCTATCCGATGGTTATGCTGGTATGCGTGGGCGTGCCTTGAGTTCCTAGAAATCATCGATAGAAGTCATTGTTTACAAAAGCTGTTACGCCCTAATTCCAGCTCTATCTAGAAATGATGTGTGTTGCACGTTGTATTCGCGGCATTTCTGCAGAACCTGCTAAATCATGAAAATCTGGTCCGTGGTAGCGCAGACACCCATGAATCCCGCCTGGTATTGCCCCACGAACTCTCTCGCAAATGGTGACAGGCGGCGGCATAGAATTTGGGAGAGTACCTTGTAGGCGGCGCTTAGCAGTGTGATCGCGCGGTAGTTGCAGCAATCCAACTTATCACCCTTTTTGTAGATTGGGCATACGACACCTTCCATCCACTCCTCCGGTAATCTCTCCTCCTCCCAAATCTTGGCAATTACCCAGTGCAGCGCTCTAGTCAGTGCTTCACCACCGTATTTTAATAGCTCACTTGGTAGTTTATCTACACCAGTTGCTTTGTTGTTCTTCAGCCAATCAGGGGCCGGTAGCCTGTCGTCTTCTGCGCGTACTCCAAGGTCTGTTGCCGGGCCACCTTCGTTTTCTGCTGCTTCACCGTTGAGGTCCTCGTCATAGTACTGCTTCCACCTCTCAATCACCTCACACTCGTTCGTGAGAAGGTTACCGTTCAAGTCCTTGCACATATCGGCTTGCGGCACGTAGCCTTTGCGCGAACTATTAAGCTTCTCGTAGAACTTCCGTGTGTCGTTTACGCGGTATAGATTTGCCATCGCCTCGCGATCTCGGTCTTCCTGCTGACGCTTCTTCCTTCGGAAAACCGAGTTTTGTCTGTTCCGCGCTTGTCTGTATCGCTCTACATTCAATCTCGTGCGGTGTTGCAGCATTCTCGCCCGTGCTGCATTCTTCTCCTCTACTAACATTCGTCGTCAAACCAGTCATTTCTTCGGTCCGGGATTGCAGTACCTAATGCCGCTTCAGCAGTACTACCTATGGCGGAACGGATGTCCCTTCAGTCATCTTCAAGAGAAGCCGCGCCAAGCTGCTTTTCCGTGGGTAGTGCAACTTCCAGCTGCTGCGCATGTTGGATCGCGGCGTTCGACTTCGACGGGTGTTATGCACCGTCGAGAGTTTTGAGCGCATCCATACTGCAACTAGGTAGTGGTCCGAATCTATGTTCGCACTGCGGTACGTGATGCAAACAAGCTGGTCGAAGAAGGTCATCGAGAACGAAAATCCGACATTCGAGGATTTGTTGTCGTTCCTAAAGAAGCGGTGTGAAGCGTTGAGAAGGAAGTTTTCAAAAAAGATGCATCCAAATCAGTGAATGTCGAGAAGAAAATGAAATCGCTACATGCAGTAGCATCGAATCAAAAGAGCAAAATACGTTTTTCTGTGAAGATTTTAAGCAAATGAGTGTAGAAGATCGCCGAAGCTTGGCTCAAAAGACTAGACTGTGTTTTAACTGCTTGAGGCCGTTGCATACTGCCAAGTCGTGTTCTTCTAAGTCAGTATGCCATACTCCGGAATGCAAACAACGGCATCATACGCTGCTGTATCCCGTTGCGAAGAAACTTGAACGTGCCGAAGAAAAGCCGAATGAAAATGATGTTCCGGAAAAGATCGTGACGAAGAGTGAAGATAAAAATGTTGCGGTTCTGATGGCGGAATTGCCCATAGAGGAGCACCGCACCATTCCGCTGCTGCCAACGGCAGTTGTGAATGTACAGAAGGCGGATTGATCGCAAGCTACATTAGTGTCAGAGGAATGCGTTAGGAAATTGGAACTGCCGAGGCGTAGCGGTAAGCTGGTAGTCAGTGGGCTTGGTCAGCAAAAGGTAGGGTTCACTCGTGGTGTAGTTTCACTACGACTAGCGTCCAGATTCAGCGAATGTATCATTATTACAACCAATGCATACGTTCTCGGTAAGTTGACGTCTAGTATTCCTTCGCAACGTTTCAAGCTAAGCAACATGAAGCTGCTGGAGAATATCAATGAGCTGGCGGACCCGTTGTTCAACAGACCGGCTTCCATTGGCGTAATTTTGGGATCGAACGTCTTTCTTGAGCTTCTCGAGTGAGGTCAAGTCAAGGACGAATGCGGCCTAACGGTGGCCCAACGCACGGTTTTCGGGTGGATCGTGGCGGGGAGGTACGACGAAGCCGAGTCCATTGCCAGCAATTATACTATGATCAATCACACGGAAATGGATTTGAATCGTACCCTACAATAGTTCTGGGAGCAAGAGGAGCTGCGTAACAAACCACAGTTGACTCGTTCCGAAATCAAGGTGGTTGAATTTTTCAAATCGACCTTGTCGCGTGATGAGAATGGGTGCTTCATTGTTCGTTTGCCGTTCGACAAGCCACTCCTAGGAGAATCGATAACAGCTGCACTGAAGCGGCTTAAGTCGATACAAAAGCGGAATTCAAGCGAGAATACGAAGCCTTCGTTCGTGAATATCTGGAGCTAAATCACATGGAGGAGGTTCCACCTCAGGAAATCAAACTGCTTAGGATTCTGGCTTAGTAATGCCGTGCCTTAATTCACTAGGCCATCTGAGGCCCTTGAATACGAAGATAATTGTAGATTAAATTTCTATATTTTTAGGAGGGAATCCAAAAAGTGTTTTTGGCAGAGAATCCCGATACTGTTATTGAGAAAATTTCATGGAAATACCGATGAGAATCATAAGATTTTTTGAAGAAAATGTCCAAACCGACCGCCTCAAACACTGAGCTTTAATAAGAATTAACTAACACATTAACATTTTGAACGAGACCTAAAACAAATGATAAAAATTGCGAAGTTTCACGTGATCATTCTGAAACAATCGGTTCTAAAAACCCTATTTCAAATGTATTGCCGCGCAAAACCAAAACACGACACAAATTGTACCTAGATTGCGTACATATTTATCTTCTCCGTGCAACCGTAATATTTCAACACCGGACAGGTAAAAAAAACCTTATAAGGTGCATTCATACTTTAAGCTTCTGCTCTACATGCAGGTATCCGAAAACACTACCCTTCTCATGGGACAAAAAACGAGTATCACGTTGTTCAATGCCAGACAAACAAAACCAACTAGGTAAAAGTCAGGGCCGCGAAGAAGAAGAAACGACGAAAATGGATGTGAGTGCAGAAAACTACCACGGGACTCCATCTTGGATAAGCATCTCATATGGTCTCATGTGCACCCAGCCAACCAGATGTAGATATTGGCCAACGGGCAATTGAAGGGAATGTTCGTTATTCTTTTGTTCCAAGTGGTTGCATTGCTCCTTCCCCTTGATTTATTTGTATATTCCACGACTAATCCTTCAATACTCTTAGCACAGTACATTGAATGGAAAGTGAAACAAATAACATTGTTTTGCGCTATTGTACTGATTATTTTGGAACGATTTTGGTCATAAGTTCGATAAACATGGAATTAATGTATCTGCAAAGTGTTCCATTATCACTTTTTTAGGATTTCCAAACAGGCCCAATGTTACGATTTTCGTCACTTTTTTGAATATCGATAAAATCCCTTCCGACACTGTTTATGTAATTTTGCCCAAACATACCTCCGGTTCTTTCCACACTTTTTTACAGATTACTGCACAACAGTAGATGATCTGCATAACACAACCACAATAGAATGCTGATACCCTGTTCATTTCAGTACATTGCGTGATTAAATCAACCAAAACTCACCTTCATTCGAGACTGTCTGCGAATCTTCTCCATTTTTCGGATCAATAACAACAGCAGCTGCTGTCAAATGATGGAGACGGTCGTCGTTTGCTGAATCTACCGCCTCCTTGGGAGGTTCCCCACCCCCAGCCGGTGCAACAGCAATATCACCATCACTCGCCGGTTGTGGCGGTGGTGATGGCGGCGGCGTCGTTGTCATAATTGTAGTCGTAGTAATCAACGCCAACGGAAGCTGTGGTAGTTGTTGTATGCTGCTTTCTTCTGGTTGAGTCGCTTCCGCCGCGTCGCCCGTGGCTGGTGTTAATGATGCTAATGCTGCTTCTGAGATTATAAGATCAACATCGGCGTCTTGTTCAGTGACGTCATCATGCTGTACGACCTCACTATCTTGGGCCGAAGTGGGGGAGGCATCTGCAATTGGTTGCTGCTCAGGTTCGGTCATGCTATCTACCTCTGATGTTTGTTCAACTTTTGGAGTAACTTCACCTTCTGCATCATCACTACCTTTGCCGTCACCATCGTCGTCATGGTCATCATTACCATCATCATCATCATCATCATCAACAATCTCGACGGGGCCAACGTACAATGTTTGCACTCCGTCATCAAATTGCACTGTGATTTCACTCAGGAATAGATCCAGATCATCCTGTTCCTGTTCACTGCTGACACTGGCCAGTTTCTTCTGCGAACCCAAATCCGCCCCGTCTCCGGGCAGAAATTCAGTTGTTGTTGTTGATGGTTTCATCTTTGCCGTCGTCGTCGTCGCCATTACGCTCATCTCCCAGTTCCAGCACAACACTCTCTCATGCACGTAGAATTTGTTCACGTTTAAAACACTATTCCTCGAGGCACACGTAAAATTTATAACATAAAATCACAACGAACGGGTACATTTCCACAAACATTACAAACTGAGACCGAACTCCGCGCCACCGGAAGCTTTCTGGAAGGATAAAATCAAAAAACAGCGAACCCAAAAAATGAATCCAACCAAAAAAATGAAGCACGAAAAGAAAATGATTCCGGGACGGCGTCACACACGCAACAGGTTGCCTTTCTTGTTTGCTACTGGCGAGTGGTTGTTGTTGGACCGAAACCACGAATCAAACCACGCAAAGGGAACGGAGCGCAGGCCGGAGGACGGTGGGGTGGTCTTGCCAAAAAGGAAAGTTTCGTCGAGTTCAGCGATTTTGTTTTGGCATCACCGAGAATGACAGCTCGGTGGTCGACGAATCGTTTACAACTGGAATTGGATGCTGCATGGGCAAGTTTTCGATTGGGTTCTAAATAACGCCTTTTTGGGACGACTCGAAAAAAAAATCCGGCTGATATACTAGAACTTGGTAGAACCAACAATCAATACGAAACTAACGATTTCAAATCGGCTTATTACTTGACTAGCCCAAGCACATCTATAAGTGTACCCCATTCTAGTACTAGAATCTGCCAAAGTCTTTCTTATAGACAACAGATTGAGTATGTTTCTTCAGAACCTCCTGGTCTTTCTATATACACGGATAGAAATCTCCTAATATTTTTTGCTGGATTTTGCCGAGCTGGTTCTCCAGCAATCCATTCAGCAAAAATGAACTTTGCTGACCTTTCAGCAATCCAGTTTGACAGTTACTTTGCTGGATTTTCAGCAATTATTTTTATCAACAGCAGTAGGATTTTGCTGTACTTTCAGCATTATTTTGTTTTGTTAATCTGTTTTAATAAATGTATATAGATTATTGATTTACAAGAGAAGTTTATGTATTTATTCATATTGTAGCGTATTTTATGGTATCGGCATGGTTGATTGATGTTATTTGGGATTAAAACAATGTATATGATGGATGAACTCCACCAGGTAAGGAAACTGTCGGTGATCATTTCTGGACCTGCTTTAGACAGCATCTGGAAAAGATATATTCATAATAGAGTTTATTTTGACTTTCATGAGGATCTTACCACCATAGAGGTAACTCTAAGACTAGTAGGTCCCGAAGAAAATCATTATTATTTTTGGCTCACTCAGTACCAGAACAACGGTCCCAAGCAGTCCCAAGCTATTTCACTCACCCCTGCATGTTCTGCATGAATCCACACACCCCTGATGTTATCTGTCAAACTTTCATAGCGAATCAAAACAAACATAGTGTAGTAATAGAATTTCAACTAGAATAGGGTACGTTAATCGTTTGCTTGGGACCAATAGGCTACTAAAGTGGTGAGCCAATTTAAAATCGTTAGTTTCGTATTGATTGTTGTTACCACTCTCAAAGATAAATATTTGCAGGAAATAGATAAATACTGAATCAATAATATTGTCACCTGACTTTAACAACTCGACAGTGAGCATGCATAAGGGCGTATACGCGATGATCGATTCTCTTCATCGATTTTCTCTTTGCATTTCTACAGCTAAGCAAAACAATTTTCTAGAATTTGTTCAATGCAGAAATGTAACAGGTTGTATTGGCTATCAAAAGCAACAGCAAACGCACCGAGAAACGTTAATTCTAGCGAGTTATTAACAAAAGAGAAAATCGACGAAGAGAATCGATCATCGCGTTTACGCCCTTATGCATGCTCACTGTCGAACTGTTCACCAACATGAGATTCACGTGAAAAAGTATAAGTCTAACTGACAGCACCTGCATATTTTACTGGTTTTCTGCAATAAAAATACGTTTACTGATTTCCAGCACTTTAAACAAAGCGTTGCTGGGTATCCAGTAAAAAATAGTTTTGCTGGACATTATTCAGTTATTCAAATTGCTGGAAGGTAAATTCAAAATTTGGAGTGTATACCTTTGGGAAAATTTCTATTGCTGATTATTCATAAAATGTATAAGTCAACTAATAAGCAGACGTCTTGCAAAAAGTTAATGAAGATCATGTGTCTAATGAAATGTATAAGCGGTCACACATACCCTATATGCATTCTTATATGACCTATGTGATTTGTCTTATGAAATGTATAAGGCTGATGTTTTGGCAAAAATGTATAAGTGAAACACGTGCATAAAATAATTGATTTTCGTTTCGTGTACACACTTAATCTAGCTCGGTAAAATCTCCAACAGCCGAGTACCTTGGCATTTACTTTTGCTGATATCTCTGTAAAATATCTATTTGTTAGCTGATATCTCAGCAAAATCTTATTTGTTAGCTGAATCTCGGCAATGGTTTTACTGAATCTTAGCAAAATAAATTGCAGAACTACTCGGCTGTTGGAATCTCGGCGAAAAAAATTTAAGTGTGTAGTATATAGAATACCGTTAATTTGAATAGCTACCCTAATAAAAATGTTAAGGTTAATTTGCTTAATGACGTGTTCGGGGTATCATCCTAACAATTTGTGGAATAGCTCATGAATAGTTGTGCTATCATTTGTTTATGGTAATTTTTTATTTGGGTAATATTAAAATTAATCTGTGCACAATAAGAATTTAAATTGTTACAGTTCCCCGGTTGCGGTAGAGCAGAACTACCATAGGGTGGACCAATCACAAACACTTAGGGCAATGTGCACCAACAAATCAAACAAAATCATGAGAACATAACTTGTCAACATACGTGTATTCGTACATTGGAACGTACTCACATTTTCTCCTGCTCGCCGGCGTTGTTGCCGCTAAGAGGCTCACTGCATGTCCTCGGGGCTCGCGATTGACTAGCTTCCCGCCGTCGTCTGGTCGGCAACTCGACGAACGATCGTCGTACGCTTCCGTCTGAGACCGACGTCCTGTTGGTCACTCGCCGCACGGTACCAACGCTCGCCGGCACACGGGCCTCCGTAGTTGGTCCTCGTCTCACCTCCGTCTTTGACCATCGAGCGGTCCAATCGCTTGCCGTCACACGGAGCTCCGTCGTCGGTCCTCGTCACACTACCGTCTTTGACCATCGAGTGGTCCAATTCCGTCGACGTCAGCCGGCTTTCCCGCACTTTCCGAATCTTGAGTCCGTGGCAAAATAAAGCGCCCTGAAAAGGCTTTCTATTAATATCGGCAGAGACAATACTTGTGCCGTGAAACTCACCCTCGGATCGGGACGCTTCTTTCTCGTTCCAATTCAGTCGTTTTCCGTGCGGTCCGTGTAGCGACCGGTTGATCACTGTTCCTGGCTCAAGCCGATTTGAAAAGTGCCTAATTAAAACGAACATGTTAGCATCATCGTCGCCATCTTTTATGCAGCAAATTACCTTCGACTACGCTGAATTCCTGACCAAGAGTCCGTTTCGTGACCAGTGCGTGTGCACGTCTTCTACGGGCGGTTAGCGTTGGAAGTGGTTTGGCCGGCTGTACTGTCCACCCGTCTACTTTGTCGTCACTCTGCACTCGTACCGGAACCTTTCTACCTGGTGTGCCAGATGCCACTATGGCGGTCCACCAATAATGATCTTTTTTCACTGCCGCTTTTCTTCTCCGAACCGGCAGCCACGGTGTCGTTGTTCGTGTGCGTGCGTTCTCCTCCTTTCGTGTAGTCTCGAACGGAAAACGATCTCGCACCACGGTGTCAAACACGAGAGATGAGCAAGACAATTTCTTGTGTGCTTACGTTTTCAAGCCAGGAAGGGGTTTGAACTTTTTGCTATAATATCCGTGTTACTACACTGAGTACAATTTTAATTTCATTTTGTACTATTCTTTTACTAATGTATTGTGAAGTTTTTCTTCATTTAGACTCGAATGATTTTAATTTCGTCGTTCTCAAATTTCGCTTTCGATTTCGCTCCCACCAATCCCACCTTGGAACATATATAACGCTTGGTTTCCATGACATTTCTTCTGGGGTTTACATTTGACTCATTAAATGTTCCAAACCAGCTGGTTAATCCTCTTCCATATGTTTACTTTTGACCCCTTTGTTCTTGAGCTTACCGCTGGTCATGTTTACATAACAAATCCACTCTGCTGAACCTGTTTGCACGCGAAAACGACAAGGAAACGTGGAAATGGTAAGAGTTTCAAAAGCCATAGAAGATTTTGGCAGCTTTCACATTTCGTCGAGAAAGTCTAAATATTCATAGAAATCACAATAAGATTCTAAACTTCATCTTACAATAAACGGAACAAAATTACTTCGAATTGATTGTTGCTACTACTGTTTTTCCTCCGACATCTCTACTTGGCGACTGACTGACGCTGACATTGACGCAGTATTGTGGGTCTCGATCGAGGTCTCGCTTTATTCTCGATATTATAGAAAAGCTGTTCAAGATGATAAGACATTTACTCTACTAAATCGAAAGCTCGGAAATTCCACATGATTTTCATGTGATCACACATAAACAGAATCCACCCAGAAGCACACATGAAGTTTTTTAATCAAATGAATAGTATGTGTGGTTACGCATGGCCTTTATGTGTACACTTATTAAGTATGTATCTGATACATAAATATCATTTGTTGATCACATTGCAAAAATTCATGTGTGGGACACATAAAAACAATCTTTGAAATTTTATTAGTGGCACTCTAGGTGGCACTTAACTAACAAATTGACAGCTCGCTCCTATACAAACTCCCTTCAAGGGGCACTAAGATGGTGGTTTTTGCTAATGCAATCGCACTTATTTAAAATAGTTCAAGTGTACCAAAATCGAGGAAATTTTGGATTTTGGTTCAATTTTTAATGCCGATTACGAATATGCATTTACCTCAAAATCCCTTTTCACAGGCGTTAGCTAACGTTACATTTCACATCTAAAATGTCAACCTAATTGGGCGAATCCCTCTCCTTATTGATTTCTGGCTACCTTCACCATTGGCTCCTGGTTTATTCAGTTGTCAAAAATTAAATTTTGACAACACTGCGGTTCTGGCGACGAGTGACGCGTATTATCATTCACCATCATCCTCCTCCTCTTGCTAAGCAAAAAGGAGTGATTTTTGTAAAATATATTCACTCCTTTCGCATCAATCATCCGCGCGCTAGCTGTAGTTATTAGAGAAAAATCAGTTTAATTTCGAGAGTGAAATACGAATACCTGAAGATAGTAGCAAGAAAAGTTGTTTTTGGAAGCTCGTTTTTGTTGGACGTAGCATCTCGTCGGTCTCAAAATACGCCATAAAAAGTTGAAGGTGCTGCAGCAGAAGGAGCGACGTACAAAAATCGATCATCTTTGAACAGTTACTACCTAGCTACTAAGTGCTCTGTTGCCCTGGAAGTGATCCAGGAGAGAGGTGTTCGGTGTATTAGAATTGCAGATTTTAAAATCGTCTTTGTGATATTGATCAGCTTTTAGTTATATAAGAAGGAAACGAGTTAGGTTCAAAGTTTTAAAGAATTTTGTAATATTTAGTCACAAAATGTCTGGAAAAAGTATTATGAATAAATTTGTGATACGGAACATTGTCCAGATGGTGGTCAACTGTTCGTACGTTTGCGTGTTTTACCTAATGCTGATGAGTTTACTGGACACGGCGGGAGTAGGCGCGAACAAGCTACCCGAAGAGGACATATCGATGGTGACGGAGGTGAACGTAAGTAATGTTCTCGCTACTTAGTCACTATCACTTTATATGACGCGTCTCTTTCGGCACTCTTTTGTTACCGACGACGGACAACGCAATGAGATAAAACTGTTATCTAAAATAAACCAATGTACCTGGTCACCATCATGATGTTTGATGAGGGCGGCTGTTCGTTATTTCTTGTCTCAAAATCGCACTTTCATTTGATGCTTCCTGAAGTGTTGAAGCTATTTATTTGTTTCTTTTACAGAATGCAGATATTGGAAGCAGTGGTGCACCCGGGGAGAAGAAATCCGGGGGTTTCTTCAGTTCCGACGTTGGCTTCGTGCACGCCTTCGTTGCTTCTTTCTCGGTCATCATTGTGTCGGAACTGGGCGATAAGACATTCTTCATCGCTGCCATCATGGCCATGCGGCATCCCCGGCTGACGGTGTTCGCCGGAGCGATCGCCGCCCTGGCCCTGATGACGGTTCTGTCGGCCGTTTTCGGCATGGCAGCCACCATTATCCCGCGGGTGTACACCTACTACATTTCGACGGCTCTGTTTGCACTGTTCGGACTGAAGATGCTCAAGGATGGCTACTACATGTCCTCGACGGAGGCAGCCGAAGAGCTGGAAGAAGTGCAATCCGATCTCAGAAAACGAGAGGACGAGGTAGGTTCACACGTGCTTTCCAATGCTTCACATCATCCCACACCAGAACAACGTATCGCGCGCTTATGGTTGTTACCCCTCACTTTAAGTGAAGATAATTTTCGATTTTTTTCGTTCTTTCTGTTTTGTTACTAACAAAATATTTTCTCTTTATTTGCTCAAGATTTCTCTTTTCCTGTTCCTAACCCTCCTCGTTGGCTTTGTGTGTCTCTTAGCCGTCCCTTCTTCTTTTTCTTCTCAGAAAAAAATGATTCTCTTGTTCATAAACCACGTAGACACTTGAGGCGATTCCTTTTAGCATCCTTTTTCGCATTACTCTTCGCATTGTCACTAGTCAAAATATTAAGGTTTTTGTGAATGCACGTTGCTGAAACTACTAGGTAGGGTTAATGTTCCTATGTGCCTAAGTGCCCTCATATTGGGCACATTCATAAATTTCGAATGAAAGCATTTGTGGGCTTTTTTTATTAGCAACCATTTGTGTTGTCTAGCCGACGCATTGTTCTTAGGAAAATTGAAGAACATGATATTTTAATCAATCAATTTTTAGATCCATAGGCCAACATTAGAGCCATTTCCCCTACTTACTTGTTTGCTGTGGAGAAGCAACCAATGCACAATAAGGAAAAATGGTCGAAGAAATACATTTTATTTTGTAGCATTTCCGAAACTCGCTGAAACAAAAATATGGTTCATATTAGAGAGGGTCTAGTATAAGAGAAGAGCGAACTGTCTAAGCCAGAGCCAATTGAGCAGCGCCTATCTTGATTGCATTGGAAGTGTTGCTAGAAATCACCTAGGCATAGGTTGTCAATCCAATTTGCTTTGAATCCACTCCTCTCTTATACTAGACCCTCTCTAGTTCATATAATTTCTGTAGGTAAACAACTTGCGAAATCGAATGTAAATGCGGTTTCATCCTGGGAGAATACAGTGAGTCTAGACCAACAATTGAAACAGGCAGAACAGCCAAACGTAAACAATGGCTTTAAACGCAAATTCAAATCAAAGCACATCCAAGTAATCTAACGCCATCATCTGATAGAGCAAACTTCGTGTATCAAATAGCATTGTTAGTTGGTGTGGGAGTGTTTTGATTCTCTTTCATTTTGTTTACGTTTGGTGGTTCCGCCTATTTCAAATGTTGGTCTAGATTTATTCCTATATTTTTTAGGCAGAAAAAGCAAAAAAACTCAAATTTACTGTATTCTTTCCAGGATGAAACCGCATTTACATTCGATTCCGCTAGTTGTTTACCTACAGAAATGATATGAACTATATTTTTCAAACAGGTAATTTCAGTGGTACACAATTGAATGTATTTTTTCGTCCTTTTCCCCCCATTGTGCAATGTCTGAAAATTACAGATTTATAAACCTCGTAAATTCAAGATCTGAGGTTTATAAATTTGAAACTTTCAGACCGATTGCTTCTCCGCAGCAAACAACAAGTAGATTTGTGCCTTTAAAATTGCGAAGTGTGATAAGAATAAGGACTCTACAAGGAAACACCTTAAGAGGGGGATGGCGTGTGTCTATGGTCCGCAAAAATTTATATGGATGATTGTCTACGCAGGGTGAATACGTAGTTTATGAACCACCTCCCAACCATAAAACGTCATTTTGGAACGATAAGGGAACCTGCATAAATGCAATCCTCTGGCACGGCCATTGGTTCTTGAAGCTGCCATAAGTGATAGCAGTGGCGTTGATGTCGGCATGGTTTTAAGCTTCGTTCATACGTTACCATCATCATGGTTTGCCGATGAGATCCACCCATCCGAGTATGACCAATCGATTGCACAGTCATTGGTTCTTGAAGCCACCGTGAATTGAATTTCATGCACTTCTTTCATATAATTTCATGTTTTTAGAAAGAAAAAAACAACTGAAATACGCCGAGACAACCTTCGAAAACACCACGCACTTGATAAATTTTCTCCTATACCGCAACGTTACCATGGTCGTTCAAACAACGGCATAAACGAAGCTGAAACTCATAATGTTTCCATCAGCTCTCAATATCGGCTCTAAGCAGAGTGTTCTTGGATTACTTTTGTGCCACCGGAGTTCATAAATGACGTTGGACGTTTGTTTACGTTTCATGAATCACCAACTGAAATGCTACGTCATTTATTTATCTTCCTTAGGGTAATGAACTACTTCTGGATCTGCGCATATTTCCGTCATATCGAGCAGAAACATCAAATGTATCAATGATTTCGACGTGAACGAATCAACCATACGTTTGGTACGAAAATTTGGTTCAAAAGCTACAACACAACGTATATAAAAACCCATAATATGAATATATACTTCCATTCTCGCTCCTTGCGAATCCATTTTTTTCTGCCTTCATCCGTATGTTGAAGTGAATCCAATGCCATTTCAGTGTGTTTGGATGTAATTGAAACTCGTATGACGGAATTGGAACCAAGAAGCAGTGTTAGATTTTTAACAATAGCTCAACAATTTGAGATCTTAACCCTATTGATGCGACACTCATAGCGCAAATCCTACCGGCGGCGCTTATCAGTTTACGTGACATCGTAATCATGAATGAATGATAAAGTTTCAACGATTTGGGTGTAATGTATCGAAAACAATGGTTTTCAGAGATAAAACAAATACCGCAACGTGCGTTATCAGTGTCCCTAGATGGGATATTTTTTATTGAGCGATTGTCAGTTGATAGAAGTGCGGCTCACCTAAATCTCAACATGATTTCATGACCAGTTCCATCTATTAAAAGAAACTTTGGCCACTCGAAATCCCGCCAAGTCAAATTTACAGTCATTCCTTATCTTCTTATGAACTATACATGGCTGCAAAAAATGCGGAACATTGCTTTTGTTTTCATGTCCAGAATAGTAAATAGCTTTATCTGCGATATTTTGGGATCCCCTCGTAGCTAGACATGGAATTGATTTACTATGTTTACTCATACGAATCGTTTGTCTTCTCTGCCATACAGATTTTCGGTGCTTGCGCTCAGCGTGCATTTGACGCATTCCTGCCGATAAGTTCTGACAAAAGAGTCGCTCATTTTCAAGCAAATTAATGCATTTGATTCATTCTGTCTCTTCAGTATACTATGTCTTCTTACCAGAGGATAATCCCGAACAACAGTATCAGGGTTGTAGCCATATCATCATTAAGCTTGTTGTAGGATGAATTCCCTTTGAATTCTTTTCATAATTCACTTAGAATGCTCCGAGAAATTCCTTCCGATTCCTTAGGAACAAGATTGGAATTCACCTTCAGTTCTCTTTAAAGTTCCCATAGACTTAATCTAGAATTATCCCTATAAGCCCTTTAGACTTATCGTTATACTCATTTGACAACCTCATCATCCTTCTATAGAAACCTTTTAACATGTCAGAATCCTAAAATTGAGTCTAAGTCTTTGAAGAGAAGAAATTTGACTTTTTTTTTTTAAAGAATCTGGGATCTTGAATTTTGAAAAAGAAATTAATTAAACCTCACATTCTTGAGAATTTTCTTCTGTCTCAGAATCTTGAAATTTTTTCTCAATTTTTATTTCATATAGGGGAAATGGATGTAATGTCGGCCTAAATGCCCCTAATTTGGGCAGATACATAAATTTAGCAATCGACTAAATTTTCAATAGCGACCAAAAATATCCATTCCCAATGTCACTGTGAGTCACTTTTTAGTGACCTGCTCACTTTTTTCAAGCCAGTCACTAAAAAGTTTCTTTTTTAAGGGTAAAGTCACTAAATTCACTTTTTCTTGTAATCAGTCACTATTTTCAACTTTTTTTAGCGTGAATTTATTTCAAGATTGATCATTCTTTGCTTTGTGACGTTTAATCGTCTTTCTCTATCTACTCATTTTTCTAAATAAAATTTCCTGAGTTTTCAAGGTTTTTCCAGAACTTTAATGGATAAATTTCAGACTTATAATAAGAAAGCTATTTTTAAAATGCAATGTCTTGTAGTTTCGTATTCCATGTTCAAGATATTGAAAATTTTCGAAGTGCCTGAATTAAGGAAAACATTAAATGATTTATTTCAAGTTCGTAACTAACTTTATGAAAGATTAGAAATCTTCATTGCAGTCCCATTAACTTCACAACAATTTTAGGAACTTTAAAGAAATTCTGAGGAATTAAAGGAAATGATGAGAATTTCAGTGAAGCTCCATAAACAAACTACGGTAACATAAGGGAAGTTAACAGACTGAAATTATGGGAAACTTACTGGAAGCTTTAAAATCCTCAAATCGGATCTTTTAACATCCGAAAATTTCCAGGAACTTTTATGACGTTCCTAGAATTTCAAAGCACATCACAGGTGTTAAGCGAATTTGAGAAATATAGAAACCTTGAGGGGTATTGTGCAAATTTTTAAGAAGCTCTAAGTACCTCAGAAAAGCTAGATCTAGTGCTCTTTGGGGAATTTCAGATCTTAAGAGCAGTTCCCATGACTTTAGTTCAGACTTTTTGGAGCAGTTTAAAAATCTATAATCGTAAATTTAGAAAAATTGAGAACCCTTAATATGTTCCGAAAATTTCAGGGAAGTACTGTAACAGAGAATTTATGAAAACTTCAGAAATATTTCAGGAAGAAATTCCGAGAAATTTATTTTCCATAGAATTGAGAGCTTCAGGGAAGCTTCGAGAACATTAAGAATCAAAGGGCAGTTCAAATAACTTCAAGGAAATTGTAGAAACCTTAAATAAGTTCCGGAAACTTCAGCAAAGCTCCGATAGAACGTCTGGAACGTGATAAAAATTATATGAACAACCGGAAAACGTGAGAGTATTTTAAGGGTGTTAGATCATGGATATTTCAAGAACTTTTAAAAATGCGATCATTTAGCTAAGCTGATGAAAAAATGCGAGAACTTTTAGCAAGCAGCGATAAATATCTTCAAGAAATTCAAGTGAACTTAGAATTGAGATAGTTCAATGATATTCAGCGAAGTTCCGAGTACTTCCAGGACGATTAGATAGCTTCAGAATAATCCCATTAACTT